CACAGATAACATGAATGCACGTGTGATTTGCCCAAGCTTCTATTTTAGTTGAAATGAAAAATTTGATTTATTCACGGGAAGACGTTGCTATCTTGAGAACATTATTCGCTTTTAGCTTTCAGTTTCCATCAAATGTTATAAACAAGAAAACTTTCGCTTTCATGAGAGAAGCACGCGTTCAACTTCCTGTCAGACTCTATTTATGAGTTATGGTTAAATCAAGCCGTCCTTTCTCCGCATTACTTCAAGTGATCCACGGATATCCGATTTTCATCGTTCAGGAATCTTTTTATCAAACTTCAGACATCACAGGTTTGTTTTCACGACTAATGCTTTTACCGAAAAACGGATCTAGCAGACCATATCGATCTAATCATAGCGAGAATTCGTTCATCAATTGATTAAAAACCTCCAGCCGGTCAGTGTATTTCATAATTGTTTCTGCTATTCCTATGGTATTTTGTAAACTGAGAAAGGTTTAGCGTTAAGTTACAAAAGCGTTTCCTTATTTTCAAGTGAGCGGTATGGTCGATTAGTTCCGAAAATAAGTAAGCTCCCAAAGATTTAGCTAGAGTAGCACACGAAACGGTGCTTTTACAGTCGTTCGAGTATCGCAACGAAGTCGAACGACAGGTTGATGCATAATATTGTAGCACATCGAAGAGGAACTTTGGCAACAAGTGCGCTTTTCAAGTTCTTTATGCAACCTTGAGTACGTGCCTCTCAGAAAAGACAAACTTGTGGCATGTCGATCGATCAGTACGTGTAGCAGGATCAACATTTTATTACAATTTGCCAGGTCGGGGCTAAAGTGTGTATGATTAGCATTTCATTTCACACCGTTAGATTGCTGCTACATTGTTTTAACCCTTTTGCTCCCATGAGTGACTTAATTTTTTTACACTATTAAGGCAATATCAAGCGGACAATTGATACGAGTAAGAAAAAAAATTGAGAATTATCAGTTGATCCAATACTAAATTCTCCGAACTAACATAGTAAGGATTGAATGGCAGGCAATAGGGAGAATTGCTGATGAGATCTTGGGTGTTAAAGGAGCCGAGGTTAAAGGCGCGCTAACTGTCTTCGAGTTTTACAAATGATGCAATCCAAGTT